TCCAAGGCACGGCTGGCACAGCTGCGCCAGAACCATCACGTGGGCCAGAAGCTGCCACTCGGATCCAGGAAGCGCGTCATGTTTTTTGTCGCCTTGGGAAGAGAACCCCCCCCAATTCGGCCAACCGTTCTTCCCCTCTTGATTTCCCCCGTGTAAAAACAAAAGGGGGAGGGCTCCAAAGAGGACACCGCCATGTTGTGCGGTAAGGTTGACCCCATATTAATCAACCCCAGCTTATTAATAGGGGGTGTTCCCCTCCACAGGTGATGATTGCCCACTAAACCCAGGGAAACCCCCCTATTAATAAACTGGGGTTGATTAATATGGGGTCAACATTAGACTGAATATGGCCATAGGTGTTCTTTTGATCGGTTAACTACTCAGGCCGGGGAATTTTTTCTGGGTTTTACCGGTATGGGCTGCACAAACCATTTGCCAGGCAACTACAGCTACTTTTCCAAGTGGTCAGCCGCCCATTCCAAAAGCGCCGCCACTTGGGGTGCTTCAGTTCCCATGGACAGGCAGTAAGCATAAGACCCGAGAGCCAAATTGGTCGATGAGTGTTGGTTTAGCTTCCCAATTGAATGGCCTGAAGGCAGTTGCCGTAGTGGTTTGCAGGAATGGGGGTATTGCTTTGTGGGCAAGAAATGTGGCTTTCACTGGCGATGTAAGAAACAAAAATTGCCAGAAAGTATACGGAATGGTCTGTCCACACATGTACAAGTGGGCAATAAAGATTGAACACGCAAGAACGCATAAACCTGCCGATATTTGACGGCAAGCTCTGGAGGTAAAAGCGAGCTCATGAAGCAGGTCCTTTACTTGGCGGATGCCTTTCATAACATTTCAGGCCTTTGAGGTTTGTAGAACGCGCAGTTTTATTATTATTATTATTTTCCGTGACTGGTGTGCAATGCTGTGAGATTTCATCATGAAGTTCCAAACGCTCCATGTGCGCCCGAGTTCTGGGGTAGCTTTCCGAGCCACAGCAAGCAGATCAAAAAGCCCGCATTCGGGAAGCTGATTCGCGCCTTTTTGGAAGCCAATTGTTTTCTTCGAGCATCCTTGTGCATCGGTCATGATCTTCGGAGTTCAGTCAGCAACCATGATTAGTGGTTCGTAGAGGAACCATGACCATGACCCCCCAGTAAGCAGCCTTTGCGCAGTTTGTCTCATTGAGCTTGGTTTTCAATTGGCTATGAATTTGAGCAGGGAGGCCTCCTCCCAAATGGTTGGTGGACATGAATCCCCACTGAATTCTGATGCTCACCCAGTGTATGTCTCTAAATGTAGGTACCCCCTATGGCCGCGATTTCCTTTTGGTTCCCCTTGTTTCGCCACCTCACATCTCTTTTATACTTTTGTGCCCTGACAAAAATGACACATACACCCAAATTGCTTGGTTGATAAGGGGTTTTCCAGTGAGGGGATTCACAGGAGACAACTGTCGTCCAGGTCCATCCAGGGCCTGCGGGTTCTCAGCCGGGAGCCAATTTTTGTTCGAGACGTGGGTGTTCGGGGGAGAATGAATTGGGGTGAAAACTTCACTGTTGCCATGGTTTTTTGGTTGCTTGGTTTGTTGTTTTGTTCGGTTCGGTTCTTCTTTCTTGTAGGGCGCTGCAAAAAGAACATCATTTTCTGCTATGATGCCAAGGGATTCAAAGTGAAGCCGTTGAACGCTCGTTGATGCCTCCTTTTCTCTTCGAAAACTGTTTGTGGATCTGTTTGAACTTACCTTGTAGTTTAAGGGTCGCTCAATATGGTTGTTAGAGCTGGAGGTAAAAACTGAGGTAGTTTGGTGGATTGTTTGAGCACTAGACGCTGTTATTTGTCCCACACTGTGAACCAATCACGAAAGCCAGCCTCCTTTGGAGGCTTAGGCTGAGTTCAGTTTAGGCGAACAAAGTGAGTAATACGGGGGTGCGGGCGGGGCGTTTTTGGGCCATACTATAGGGCATTTGCCGCGTCCAATTTGAGCAGTTTTTGGGCACCTGGAGGGGGTGGCTTGGAGTGGGCTGGGGATGCTGGGGATGCTGGGGATGTTGGAGATGCTGGGGATGCTGGGTTGGGTGATCAGAGAGGCTCTTTTTGGGCCGTGCTTCGGGCATGCGAATGGGACTTTTTGGGGCGGGGATGTCAAGAATGCCGGCCGCTGAAGGCCCAGCATCCCCAGCCCACTCCAAAGGCACGTTAAGCACTCTTAACGGTGCTATTCAAGTTCAGCAGCGCCTGCTCACCTTGTCCAATTTCAGCCCTTTTTGGGGCGGGGATGTCAAGAATGCCGGCCGCTGAAGTGAAAGTGCCCAGCATCCCCAGCCCGCTCCAAAGGCACGTTAAGAACTCTTAATGGTGCTATTCAAGTGCTATTCAAGTTCAGCACAGCGTCCCTCAGAGACAGGCGGCCCTGGGCATCCTTGTTGTTCTACAAACTACTCAGTCTTTCTCAGCACTCGTGGACCGGATTTCTCCAACAACGTCCCGCTTCTCGCTTGGTTTGCTCGTGGTCGGAGAGGATTTTTTGGGCCGTGCTTCGGGCATACGAAGGGGGATTTCCCGCGTCGAATTTCAGCCCTTTTTGGGGCGGGGATGTCAAGAATGCCGGCCGCTGAAGTGAAAGTGTCCAGCATCCCCAGCCCGCTCCAAAGGCACGTTAAGAACTCTTAACGGTGCTCTTCAAGTTCAGCACAGCCTGCTCACCTTTCCAGGCGGCCCTGGGCATCCTTGTTGTTCTACAAACTACTCAGTCTTTCTCAGCACTCGTGGACCGGATTTTTCCAACAACGTCCCGCTTCTCGCTTGGTTTGCTCGTGGTCGGAGAGGATTTTTTGGGCCGTGCTTCGGGCATACGAAGGGGGATTTCCCGCGTCCAATTTCAGCCCTTTTTGGGGCGGGGATGTCAAGAATGCCGGCCAAAGTGAAAGTGCCCAGCATCCCCAGCCCGCTCCAAAGGCACGTTAAGAATTCTTAACGGTGCTATTCAAGTTCAGCACAGCGTCCCTCAGAGACAGGCGGCCCTGGGCATCCTTGTTGTTCTACAAACTACTCAGTCTTCATCAGCACTGCTTTTTACAGCTTTTTTCCATGAGCGCTCCTGGACCGGATTCTTCCAACGAGGAGTGAAAGTGCCCAGCATCCCCAGCCCGCTCCAAAGGCACGTTAAGCACTCTTAACGGTGCTATTCAAGTTCAGCACAGCCTGCTCGCCTTGTCCAATTTCAGCACTTTTTGGGGCGGGGATGTCAAGAATGCCGGCCGCCGAAGTGAAAGTGCCCAGCATCCCCTGCCCGCTCCAAAGGCACGTTAAGCACTTTTAACGGTGCTATTCAAGTTCAGCGCAGCCTGCTCACCTTTCCAGGCGGCCCTGGGCATCCTTGGGATGTCAAGAATGCCGGCCGCTGAAGTGAAAGTGCCCGGCACCCCCAGCCCGCTCCAAAGGCACGTTAAGAACTCTTAACGGTGCTCTTCAAGTTCAGCGCAGCCTGCTCACCTTTCCAGGCGGCCCTGGGCATCCTTGTTGTTCTACAAACTACTCAGTCTTTCTCAGCACTCGTGGACCGGATTTCTCCAACAACGTCCCGCTTCTCGCTTGGTTTGCTCGTGGTCGGAGAGGATTTTTTGGGCCGTGCTTCGGGCATACGAAGGGGGATTTCCCGCGTCGAATTTCAGCCCTTTTTGGGGCGGGGATGTCAAGAATGCCGGCCGAAGTGAAAGTGCCCAGCATCCCCAGCCCGCTCCAAAGGCACGTTAAGAATTCTTAACGGTGCTATTCAAGTTCAGCACAGCGTCCCTCAGAGACAGGCTGCAATGTGTCTCCGGAGGTCTTGTGTGTGGGCTAGGGCTGGGGGCGCAGGGCACGTTCGGCTGAGCGGCGCTGCCTTCTTCACAGTTCCGTTCTGGTGATGTCAAGCTTCAGTGGGTTGGGGATGCGCGGCACGTTCTGTTCTGCTGGGGATGCTCGGGACGTCAGGTTCTGTGGCCCGCCTTCTTGACACTTCCGTTTCGAGTGATGCATTCTTGGCAATTCCGTTTCGAGTGACCTGGGGTGCACGCAATGCTGGGCATGTCCGCTGCCGCTGCGTGCGTTCGCAACTGCTCGGCTGGATGGGAGGGCCCGGTCGAGAGGTGGCGGGGGGTGGCGTTTGGCGCGGGTTTCCCCGGGCTGCCCCCGCGGCTGCCACAGACAGCGCGACTCCTCCATCCACAGCCACCGCAGCATGTGGCACGAACAGACTTGGTCGCAGCGGGTTTGCGTCAAGTCGGGCAACCGCATCCAAAAAGTGAAGTTTGTTGTTTTGGTTGCCCTCTGACCTCCAAGGTGAAATCCGCAAATACTATTTGCTGTGTACCTTCAGATGAGGCCAAGACGTTGCATTTGCGCAGATCAGTCCGAGCTGACCTTGCGCAGTGCGCACCTTTCGGTCGTGTACAGGCGCCAAATCCTGGGGGTAAGCCCCAGCATTTCAGATGCCAACGTGCCATCCTTGCACTGTGGGGGGCTTTAGTTTTTTTTGGCCCCTGGACAAGCGACTCCCAGGCTCGCTTATGTGTGCCGAGTTGATCAGCCCGACAGGTTCTTTGAAGCAGCTTTGGCTCGAGTTGAGCTGAGCCACAATCAAAACCCGGGTAATCCCAACCATACATGGGTGCAGCCGCCTTTTTCACTCCTGACTTGGTTCTGGGTGGACCGTTTTAGTGCCGGGTTTTTATTACGACTCAGCTGACACTCTTTCGTAGGCAATTCAGCTATCCTTTTGGTGTTTTGGATTTGGATTTCATCGGGCCCCTGGTTCTTGTGGGTGAATGGGAAGCTGTGGACCCTCCACGAAACGGGCCCCAAACCACCCAAAAACGCGTTGGAAGCTGATCTACTGTCAGTTTGGGGCGGCAGGAGCTAGGGGAGACGATGGAGGACTCACAAAGTTTCCCACCAACCCAGCAGAACCTGGGGTTTGCGAGTTTTCCTTGCTTGTATGTTGATTGTGCCTCACATGCCAGAAGCCCATGTCAGTGTGCGTGGATGTACCTGGATATGGGTCACTTCGTGTTGGCGCGCGCACTGCCGGCGATGTTATGTCATTTTTGCGCGCCCGCTGGCCACGCTGTCCCTGGCATGGCAACAAGCTGCTCTCGTGTGGACCTCGCCAATTTCACCATGATGGGATTGTCGCAGGCGATAGTCTGGTTTTGGCAAAGTACTCGGCGATCAACACTGAGGAGACTTGGCGTCGTGAACTCTCCGCGCGCTGCAACTTTTTAGGAACGCCATGTGATCTGCGTAATTATAAAGGACGGCTAATGAACATGAATCGAAACGATCGAAATTACCTCTGGCCTGTCCGGATGCCCGTTTTCTGGGGTGCCTTATACACGCGGCTTGGGATCGGATTTTTCGCCCGCAGGACGGGTTCCGCATTGGAGACGTGGCAGAGAGGGGCATTACATTGGCCCACTTTGCATTGGCCCACTTGCAGACATTGGTCCAGCTCATTGGGCGCGTGGCGAGCAGTTCGTGCGAGCCATTTGCACAACGGCAGCGCTTGGAGGTGAAGCGTTTCAACTTCTATCCTGCGAATTATTGGATCATCAAGCCACTTGCTGACGGAGCATTTGTTTTTTTCTAGCTTTTGGCTTGTTTCTTCTCAGGCAATGGAATCTGGGTCCAAATGAAACTGCAATGCCAGAAGTCTATGCAGGGGGGTTGTCAAACTGTGGGGCCCCGTTTAGTATGCCCTTCAAAAGCCAGCACGTGCCGGCGGCAACAGGTCCAAAAGGCGACCGTTCATGTTTTCGTCTCCCACAACTTTCACCTTCCTTTCGGCAAGGCCAGCCACGGCGGGCTACACTGGAACAGCCTGCAGCTTGGTGGAGGTCATGGCAGACAAACTTCAGCTGCCTCAGTGGTTTGTGTCGCATGCTTGGATCGAGACCCGGTCTGGCGCTTGGAAGCCTCCGCGTTTTTTGTGTTGCCGTGTGCTTTGTGTTAATAATGAGCTCACCTGTAGGGTTGTCTAAAGCCAAATTCTTGAACCCATGAGGAACCTCTGTGCGAGTTCTTGGCGTGTTTGGAAGCATGCTTTGGTGCGGGAGCTACCTGACAGCATTTCAGATGCAACTCCATTCGAGCGAATCTGGTGCTGCTGCGAGGAGTCCATTGCTGGGCCCTGGGCCCGAAACTGAAACAGGCTCGAACCTGCTGTGGCCGCATGTGATTTCAATGGCTGCAGCTTGGGTCAAGATGGCACCTGCAAACAGCAAATACGGTCAGTCCTGGACGCAGTCAAACCTCTTGACAAATCCCGTGACTTCTACATGAGGCACTGTTTCATCTGGATTCTTGCCTGAACACCACTTTGCGTTCTGACAGGTTCCTTTTGGGGGTGGCTTCCTACCATGAGATTTCGAGGGTCCCTTGGAAGTCACTTTTGGCGGACCCAGCAACAGTATGTTAATGCTTGGAGAATCTCCAGGTTCTGTGGTCACATTCGCAAGACATGGATCTCGGCTGAGCCAGAGATCTGTGAATTCTCCATGCCTTTTCGTCGGATGTGAGCGCCTTCGCGGCGCGAAAGTCGAATCAAAGCGACTGGCTGTGTCGCGTTCGGGACCCATGCATCTTGGAATTCTGAGCTCAGGGAGAATCATGTCGCCAAGGAACAATTATTTCTTTCAAACACGGGTTTTCAGCGACCCCAGGATGTCGCTTTTTGTGCGGCTCCAAGTTCTATCCTCTCTTGCGAACGAAGAGGGCGTACATGCTCTCTACACTTCAAATCTTGAGACTGGTATGGCGTCGGTTATGTTAGCTTTTCTTGACACGGGAGCAGCATGTGGCACGAACTTGCTCGCGACGGGTTTCTGTCCAAGTAGGGACGCCGCATCCAAAACCTGAAGTTTCTTGTTTTGGTTGCCCTCTAACCTTCAGGGCGAAAAGGATGCCCTTACAACAAATACACGCCCACCTATTCACATGGGGAGCTGCAGGGAAATTTTGCCCCCGCAACTGCCCCGGCAACACGTGCCTCTTCTCCACGGCTGCCTGTCTCTGTTCTACTCTGCCGGCGCGGGTCCAAGCAATGCTGCCTTCCGGGCTCCTGCGCTGCTGCAGTTCGTGCCGGTGCGCGCCTCGGCAGCAAGTCTTGCCCTCCAACCCTCTTTGGCTTTTCCTTTTGCGACCCGTTTTGCCGGTTCTTTTTCAATCGTGTTCTTCTCTTTTCTTGTCTGATTTCTTCGCCTCCTGCACGGCAGGTGCTGCCGCCGGATGCAAGTCTTCTGCCTCACATTGGGCCTCCTGTCGCTCGCCCGTCGCCGGCAGCGTTGCTCGCTTCCTTCTATGTCTTCGCCTGCGTTTCCGGTTCTTTGCCGCCGTACTCTTCTTCGCTTGCCGCGTCTCTACTTCTCCTTGCCTGTCACACGCTTGGCTTCCATTGTCGCACTTTGCGTGCTTGCCGTCTTCTCTCTCTCTTGCTTTCCGTGGCTGTGGATGCGCCCTTCTCTCTCTGCGTGCCGCTCTGCGCCTGTTGCTTCTGCATGGCTTCCATCCTTTGGCCAAGTTGCCCGCCGCGTGCCCCTGAACTTCGGTTCTCCTACAAAGGTGTCAGGTACTCTCGTCTGTTTCCGCACGCCCCTGATTCCGACGCCGCACGCCGCGTCCATGCGGCCCTTGCCTTTTTGCGGGCTCACCTGCCGGCTTCGTTGGTTTGGAGTTGCCGGCCATCCTGCAGGCGGGGGTGCCTGTGCATGAGGCACGGGCGCGTGCGGCCGAATCTGGCCGAGAGGCTGCTGCACCTGCCTGACGCGGCGTCCCTTGCCGTGTGGCGAGCCGCTGCTGCCGACTCGTCCATGCCTTTGACATGCGTGCTTTGCCTGGATTGTGCTGCTCCCTTGCGTGGTCCTCGCCCTCGCTTGCCTCCAACCTCTTTGGCTAATGATAATCTCGCGCTGCCACTCCCGCCTGAGCTGCGCTGTTTAACCCTGAATAAGCAGATGTTTGTTGCTCGCGGCTTTGCAGTTCGGCGCCTCCGCTCGCTTACTTCCACTGGCGACTTCTCGGCTAGACAGAAAGGCTTGCTGGGCACAACCAGCGCTATTGCCTTTCCACAAGACAGCTCTTCGCTCTTGCTGCGCATGCCGCGTTCTGCGGCAGCTGTAGCTGACTACTTCAGCGTCTTCTTTTGTGCAGAGAATCAAAGTGACCTGGGCTGGGCGTCTGAGTTCGTGGTGCGTCGTGCAGTCGTTGAGTCTGCCTCGCGCTGGTTGCAGCAGCATAATCCATATTATGCTGTGGAGGTAATCCTCAGTGGCGTGAGGCAAAAAGCGCCAACGTGCTGCGGAAGGCAAGCCTGGCAGAGACGCAGCAGCAGTCGCTGCACCGCGCGGGACATCAGAGAGAGGCACACCACAAGGGAAGGAGCAGCATCGCGCGCAACAGCGGCAGCACAGGAGCCTTCCACAGGCAGCAACAGCTCCATCTCAGCGGCGAGTTTACCGTAGTAGAGCGGCCGGAAAGCGTGCGTGCAGACAAAGTCTTCATGACCGAGCAAGGCAGCAATCATCTCCTGAGAAGACTTGTGGCAGCGCTTCTGGGCGGCCATCAACATACGCGAGAGAGTCTGCTGCGCTCGACGACTATCATCGGCAGCCTCTGCAGTAGAAGCGCCGCGGATTTCTTCCGTGAAGCGGGCAATGCCTTCTTGCAAGAACGTCCACAAAGACCGCAGCTGCGGCTGCGTTTTAGTCGCATAAGCTGTCACAGAAGAACAGGGAGCGCATGGAAGCCGACATGCGGGCAACAATGGTCTCCACAGCCTTGTCGCGCAAAGCAAGATAATCATGAGGAAACCGCTGCAGGAGGGAGACGTCATGATTACATTTCACGCACAAGAGGATGACAGGGTTCACGCGACCAAAAAAGCAATGATGTCGCTCCGTTTGGAAGAAGTCTGTAGCAGGCGGGCTGGAACCCAAGGAAGGACGTGCACACAATGCGTGACCGTGCTGCCGCTGCCAAGTATGAGGCGACTCCGCTGTGGACACATCTTCCCAATGCCAGAATCCAAGCCGACAAAAGCCTAAGCGCCCCAAGAGTCCTTTGTCGCAGGTGCCACGACGACAAGTATGCAGGAGGCCAGAATGGAGAACCGAATGACGCAAGTCGTACAGCAGCTTCTTGCCCCAGTCGGCGGCAGAGTCGGTTGCGTCAGACGAGAGGTAGCTACGACACTAAGGCTGAAACGGCTTGAGGCCTGCCGACAACTCAAGGAAAGGATCGCTCCAAGGCGGGGACGCAAGCGTTTGGCGTTCCGGATCAGAGGCAAACCAAAGGGCATCAGCCAGAGAAACGTGCGCGGAAGCTGAGGCAGGCAGAACGGAAAGGTTGCCCGCAGAGTAGGGCAGCGGCTGCAAATCTTCCAGGTTGCCAGAAGGAAGCTGGAAAAGTGGGAGGCAAGCTTCGAAAGAAGTGCAGGAAACACTTCGCACCCATTGCCAAAGAGCCGCCTCCAAAGCAGACAGGTTGTCAGAGAATCTCTGGACAAGGTCCTGCGGCGATGCGAAGGCATGGCAGAACAAGAGCATGTGGATGTGCAAACTCCCCCGCATCTGCGGCTCAACAGAGCCGAAAGCAGCCGTGAGATCCCCGAAGATACTAGCAGCGCCTGTAGCAACAATGCCATCAATGGCCAAGGCTTCAGGAGAACCCACGCAACGTCCGCATAAACAAGGCCACGTGCAAACGAAATGCCAGGACGGCGGCTGTAGGATCTTGCGCAACAAGGCACCACAAATTGCAATCCGAAAGAGCCTGCCGCAAGGAAGCGTCCAAATCGATGGGAGGCACAGGCACGGTGGATGAATCGAGTGCATATCGCCACGTGAAGGGATGCAAGACATCCGCAGGGTTTAACGTGACAAAAAGCAAGGGAAGGCCGCACTACACGGCAAGGGACTGCAACTTGGTGCGCGTGACGTACCGTGCAGAGTCAGTTCCAGGAACCTGCCCTTGGACCAGTTGCAGCAAGCGGAGCAACTTCTTCATGGCGGGAGGCACAGCAGGCGCCTGCAAAGCATCGGGCAACGAGCCTGCCTCACCAATGCACGCAGAGACCTGCGCAAAGTCAACAGAGCGAAGAGCACACAGCTGCGGCACGGCCTCGCGGAAGGAGGGGCTTCGCAATTTGGAACGCAGAGCACGCAAGAGACGCCGACGATGCAAGACAGAGAACAACACAGAAACAAAGTCAAGGTCAAGACGCCAATGCACGGCAGAAGAGCGATCAAGTCGAAGCAGCAGCCAGCGAGCCCACACCGTGTCTGGCAGAAACGTGCGACGATTAAGTCCATCCACGGAATCGAGACGCATGAGGAAGATACGCATACACGCGCTGCGACGCAGCGGGCGCACCTGCTTCGTGAGCCGCATCTGGGAGAAAAGCAGGATGATTTGGAGACGCCAGCAAACGACGCAAAGCTTCGGAAGCCAATGTAAAATCATGCGAAGAATCTGCGGCCGCACCGCCACGCGAGGATCGCGTGTTGGCTCTGTGACAAGCCGTGAGTGCAGCGGACTCTCTAAGACAACTTCTGGATTTTCTGCTACCTGCTTGTCTTTTGCTGCTTCGCACCCAGACTTCGCAACTCTTCGCCAGCAAATCTTCACAAGGCGTGCGTGGTACGTGCCTCAACTGCTTGGTCCGCGCGTGCCCTCGCAGGATGAGAACGCGGAGAAGCGTGCTTTGTTGTTGCTCCTCCTCTTCAAAGCCATGGTCGAACCTAAGCGACCTTTTGCGAACTGAGTCTTCTGTCCATGCTAGTTTCATGCTGTTCTGCAGGGCGCTGCCGCCTCTGTACCTCTTCCGGCGCGTCCGATGGTCTTCTCTGCAGCATACTGGGCACGGCGCACGCTGCATACTTTGCAAAACTTGGACAACGTGGCTGCGAAAGCATTGCCTGACTTGCGGCACTGCAATCCTGACCAAGCCATTGGAGTCCCAGGCGCGCGCCCCGTTGCTGCAAGTCTGCCGGAGCAGCACGCTTCCGACGAGGAGGCTTCGGACCTTGGACAGCCTGATTTGGCCTTCTGTGACGCTGAGCCTGATTTGCTGGAGACTAGTGCCTTGTTCGCGGCCGGCAGTGCTGCCGCGCCACGACAAGCGCCTGCTGTGTCGCTTCCGTTTGAGCTTCTGCGTGCGATCGCGCGTTCTGAACTTGCCCCGCGTGCAGACAGCTTTGTTGGATGATGCTGCAGTCGTTCAGTTGAATCCATGCTGCGTGCCATCACCTTCGGTCCCTGCTCGTCTGCCTCTGGATGTGTGTATCCCGGCTTTGGCGCGTGCCGAACTCGATTGGGGTGATGTTGAAGCTCAGGCGTCGCAAGACCTG